CCTGTAGCTTTTCCTGGAGAGCAGAGCATAAGACTGAAGGGAGAGAGTTTCTTCTGTAGGAGAGAAAGGCATTTTAAGCCCTGGTTCTTAGCTAGAAGTAGAGTTAACATTTTCCTGTTGGCTCCATCTCTGGAAACTCAAAATGCTCAGTTACCTTAATCAAGCCATGATATTTACCCAGGATGACCTGAATTTTAAGAAAAGCACCTCCCCACCCCCAATTAAAGCAGATAGAAAAATATGATGAACATAGACAAAAATCCTTCAGTTTCCCTACTTTGTCAACTTATGGTTGCTAACCCTAGCTGAACCCAGTCCTGGAGATTTCCACACCTCCCTACCTCCCTGCCAATAAGTGTGTGCATCTGACAGAGTTACACATTCATGTATGCCTGTGCTCCTGTCAGTAGCCACACTCGAGAAAAAGGGAAGGCCCGGACACAAAAGTTAAGTGAACTACTTGTTAATTGCCTATAAAATAAGGCGTCCCATTTACAATTAAACCCTATCTCTCTGTGTCAATTGTTTTCTCCCACATACCAAAACATACAAATATACAGCCTCACACCCCCCTTCTACAGAATCAACAAAACATCAAAATGAAAGAGAACGGTGGAAATAAAACTGGATAGAGATCAAACAAGGAGAAGAAATGATACAACCCCAAAGGAAAAAAAGGAAGTACTCTGTTTAGGTCCTACAAAACTATTATTCCTAAGTAAGAGCTGATCTTCAAAGACTTCCATACCGGGCAGCAACCAGCTCAAGCAGGCATCTGGACCTCCTGCTCATTCCTCTGTTTTCAACAGCACCTTTTATTTTTTGTCCCCAACTGTAAGAGGACTCCCATCACAGATAAATTGTGATCTGTTAAGAAAATCCACTTTCCTATGGGTAAATACCACATTACACAAGAAGTTAGTTTTAATTTGGGACTAAAGCAGCAGTGTCTGCAGGGTATGGTAAAAAAAAAAAAAAGGTCAAAATGGCAGCCCTGACAGTGCGATTGAAGCTCCGCCCATTTTTTTAATGGGCAATCGCCCAGTTGGGGCTGCCGCCTTGACTTCCTTGAGCATACCTGCAGAAGCCCCTGGATTAAAGAGAGGGGAAGTGAGAGAAATGCATAGTAACTGCTAGATGTAGGCATCACGCATGCATTCAAAATGGAAATGGAACAGAACAGGGACCCTGTCATTGCTCTCAGCATTTGGAAGCTCAATAGCCACTTCTGCACGCATCACGTTACTGCCAGCCATCAGTCTGCACTTCATGAAAGCACCTGCTACGCGATTAAGTGAGAAAAACCATCACGAACACTTACACCAACAGTCGTTCAATACACGGCAACAGAAAATCCCAGGAATATGCTGTAAGGCGATGGAGCCGCACCGGCCACGTTGGAGAAAGACGCAAGATAATTCTTGAGGAAGCCACGCACGCAGCAGCCACTAACGAAGGGGCATAATTTAAAAAAGCGTGATCTGGAGAGACAGAGGGTTACAGTTAAGTCAAACACAGGAACCCCCCATGCAGCTAAGTAACCATGGGGAGTTTGAAGAAAGCCATAAAAATGCACCTTGCAGGGATACTTCTAGAAAGTAATCGGCGTATTTTGCCATGTACAGCTTGGTCTTTTCCAAGCAAACCATTGGCCATCCGTCATGGAGGTCTGACTCATGAACGGCGATCGAGAGATAGTAGTCTATGAAGTGAGCGGCTGTGGGGAGGCAAAGGTTCCACTGGAAAGTTTCTAGCAGCAAAAGTTCCATGTGCAGCAAGTTCTGCTTCGTTAGCACCAGGCTCATGTTAGTCATGCAGCCCAAGCTGTTCAGCTGCTCAAGCTTCGGCACGCTGTCCTCCTTTTCTTCAAATTTACCTGGAGAGAAACGAAATGGGTAGAATATCATTAGAGCACAAGAAATCATTAAAAAACAACAACACCACCTAGTGCTAGATGTTATAAAGGGAGAGTTGTCTCTCCAAAAAGACTCAGCTACTAATTAGCCGTCAAGTATTTTGGCAAAAAGTGCATTCTGGCAGAGGTGGTAGCACAGCTGGACTCGTTTCACACTAATACACTCTGATCATCTCGAACGATAACAGATCGAGGCTGCCAGATTGGCGGCAACATTTCAAATCACTCTCTCATTCAAGGCTTGGCAGCTGGAACCTTTAAACAATTGGATTCTGTTCATCAGAGCTATTCATTAGGTGGGAAGCAATTCCTTTTTTACTTAGGCTCAATGACACACTGAAAAAAATGGTTTTGATCTCCATGTTTTCAAGCCTAAAACAAAAGAGCCTTCAGATTTGGGACAGGTGTGTGCATTTTTGAGAACTTCAATCGTTTACAAGGGCCATTGGGCATATTGTGAAATTAATTAGTCCAATGTTTGACACCGGTCGTTTTGCCTACAGTTGGTGATACAATGCAGATGCAGAATGTAAGAAGAATGACTCTAGAATAGTGCTAATCGACTGAATCCACCTATCAAACTAAGACATGGCTTAATTAACCTTGGTTTGTTGACGACCCACAACTGGCTGAGTTCATACATAATGCCAAGCCGCAAGGCATGATCTGCAAAGCACAGCAAACACGCTAGGCCAAAACAAAGCAAATCTCCTTTAGAAAAATGTGCAAACCTGCAGCAGTGGGGTGCAATTTCCATCACTGCCCAGGTCGCTCCAGTTTTCTCTGGCATCTAGGGCTGCATTCCAAAAGTGGGTGATGGCAGGGCCCATTTGGAGGGGGCAGGGTTCAGGAGTTTTAAGAGCTGAAATGGGCATCTGAACTTTATTACTCCTTAAACCTCTGGCTCTCAAAAGTACAAGGAGAGCTCTTCATTTTTGGTCCCAATCACTCTGAGGGCCACAAAAGAGATGCTGGTGTGGGCTGCACGTGACCCCTGAGCTGCACATTTTGCACCCTTAGCTTAGCTTTTTTTACATCCTGTGCAATCCTTTAATATTTTGCAGCTTTCTGTATGGTTTCAGGCCATATTGTAGGTTTGAGAAATGAACACCTTAAGCTTAGAAATCAGGGATATGGTAACCATTACAAAATATGCTAATACAGGTTGTTATAATGGATCAAAAGAATAAAAGATACCATAATGTGTG